TTTCTAAAGGTTAAGACAGTAATGACTTCACCTACAAAACTAAGAGTCTAAGTTCTATGCAGTATGAATATCAGTGTCACAGTAAATCCTAGGTTTAAAAGTTTTCTGGCTTTCCGTGGATTCCTGGCCTTCTCAATCAAGGCCTTATATCTATTGATACCAGACTTTGTTTCAGTGAACTTGGGAGACAGGGGAAAATTCAAGGAACACTCCCTTGCTATTTGTCCTGGCTCAGTGAGCACAATGTGGGTTCTATGTCTGCTTCATGCTTGCTAAGCAACAGAGAGTTAAAATCTTTTTCAACATTGCCACTCAAATTGCTGTTTACCATCTAAAGTACAGGGTACAGAGTGAGGAGAAAGGCCACAAGGGTCATTATGCTGTGGTGGCAAAAGACCTATCATTATTTTCATTCTATTCAATGCCAACAAACCATTTATTAAAGGACAAAATTGGAAATTCTCCACTTTGCTCTTTTTGAGGACTTTTTATTTTATTTCCACAACCTGAGGAAAAGAAAGAAGGCTTTACAGATGAAGCACTGCAATTGTCAGGGTCTTCTGATGCCCACAGGCTGCCCTCATCCAATGACACTATGCTCATTGTTGGGACAATCGAATTTCATTTTTTCCTTACATTGACTTGAAATATTTCAAAATCTTGTTACTGAAGCTCAGCTGGCTTCTTGAGCCTGAAATATTTGGTCCATCAGTGGGGGAAACGAATCACATGAGGTATTCAGCCTGGAGGAAACCCTCCCTTCTCTGAAGATACATTCTCTTTCATTCATACCATGCACAACACTCATCCCTTTATGCCACGTAGCAGGGGCGGCTTGTAGCTTGCCTTCCTGTCTCCACTCTGTCAGATCCCAGCGGGCTTTCATTTAATCAATTCAATTTCACTCATCTTAATCCTCTCATCAGAACTTTATATTGCATATCATAGGTTCTTGATAAATATCTATTAAACAAATGAATGTGGGAACTGTTTTTAGGTTGTACTAACTCTCGCACCTTCGTACCCAGATGTGTGGGGCTTAGAAAGGAGTTTCTTCCCTTTTCACCAGTTCAAAATAAAAGATGTTTACAGCTCTATTATTGACAGCTGCTTGGAGGCAGAGAGAAAGAGAAGAGAGGTTTTGGGATTTTTTCCCCCCCACTGACCAAGTCTAAAAACTGAGTAGCGCTCAGCAGTAACTCCTTGGCCCCCTGTGGGTCAATAGAGAGGTTTAGGTAAAGTGAGTATTGACCATAGTGCAGTGTATTCTAGAGTCTTAGAACAAGTCTTTTGTCATGGGCTCAAAATCAAGTGGTGAAAGCTCTAGCCTGGTTAGGATATCTTTCCTCATTAGTTAGATTTGAGGTCAGCGTGTTCTTTCACATCTGTAGGAAGACTTGAATGTAACCAGAAGAGGATGACAAAATCTGGAGGGCTACAAAAAGTTATTCTGGAATAAGGAGGGCAGGAGAGCTTAAAAAACCGGAGATACAAAAGCAGAATAAATGATTCAAAATAAGCAAGCTTGAGGAAGGGCCAGGAAAAAAACGTGGGAGGCTAGTTGAAAGAGATTCCTCTGAGTAGAATAGGAGAACATATTCAGTACTTAGGAGGCTGAGGACAGAATTTTCCATCTAGAGAGAAATGGCCCTAGATTCCAGAACAAAAAGAACCTCACTTCCTTAGAAGTCAAGGTCGGGGTGGGGGGACGCCTGGGTGGCTGAGTGGTTGAGCGTCTGCCATCGGCTCAGGGTGTGATCCCGGGGTCCCTGGATCAAGGCCTGCATCTGGCTCCCTGCAGGGAGCCTGCTTCTCCCTCTGCCTCTCTCTCTATCTCTCTCTGTGTGTCTCTCACGAATAAATAAATAAAATCTTAAAAAAAAAAAAAAGTCAAGAAGGGAAGGAGGAAAAAACACGAAAGAGAATGAGAAAAGCTGGGTGATGCAAGGAAGCTGAAACCAAGAAAGAATTGTGGACCCCACAGGATGGGGACTAAAGCAAGGAGTTGAGGCACGATATGAGAAAATCAGATAAGAATTACTGAAATTGAAAAAAACAGTGATTGAAATTTGATTAACCAACTAAAAAAGGACACTGTGCACTTACTGTGTACCAGTCAATACATCAGGTTCTTTCACTATTTATATCTGATCGAGTCCTCAAATAACTATTCAAGTAGAAATTTTTATCTTCTGTTTCTAGATGTAAAAGATGGTGGCTCATAGACATCTTATTCAAGGTCAAACAGTAAGAAATTGAGAGGGAATTCCAACTCAGAAATAATTCAGGTGGTTCCCAACAGACTGAATCCCATGCTCTTTCCACTAGACTTAATGAATGGAGTTTGCATTAGGCTGGTTCAAATAATTATGTATATCGCTATTTACTGTGATGTAGTCTATTTATTACCCACTGAGATTTAATAACTCTGGAATTTATTAACTTTGCAAGAAAGGCAACCGAAATCCTATAGGGAAAAGAAGTCAAAAAGGAAATGAGATGGGATGCCTGGCTCAGCAGTTAAGCATCTGCCTTTGGCTCAGGGCCTGATCCCGGGGTCCTAGGATCGAGTCCCACATCGGGCTCCCTGCATGGGGCCTGCGTCTCCCTCTGCCTGTGTCTCTGTCTCTCTCTCTCTCTGTCTCTCGTGAATACATAAATAAAATCTTTAAAAACAATAACAACAACAACAAAAAGGAAATGAGACTGTTCAGAAGACATACTTCTCATTTCCTGAGGTTGTAACAACAAAAAAAAGGAGATACTTCTTGGAATCCTTCACTTTCTCTCAACCCCCATAGCTTCTAATCCTAATTCTATGAACCAGTTTAATGGTCACCTCTTCCGGGTATACCTTCACCTCATACCCTGACAGGATCCTGGCTCTAAATGGGGAAGAGAGAGTGGAGAAGGAACTTGGTGGCTATTAGTCACATCACTCAGGAAGACGGAGACCCTTGAAAGAGTCTGACAGCTCTGGTCCTTCTGATGTGGGTCTGCCTATAACCTGTGCTCCTGCCAGAGCCTTCACTTGATGCCCTGCCCTCTCCCTCCCCTCACCAACCCCCACCCCCACTTCAAGTCCTTTCAGGGACAGGATTTCTTGACCCTGAACTCTATACCTGTCAACACTGAGTCTCTGGTACCTGGTACCACATCATCCAGATGCTGACCACCACCAGCACTTCCTCTGATTCTATTATTAACGACAAAACCTATGAACTTTACAAATGTTAAATTCATATTTCCCCTGGCCTTTACCATCTTGTATACTTGGGTACAAGTGTTTTTTCTCCTCATTTTAAAGATAAGAAGCCTGAAGAGTTATGACTTGCCTGAGGACACAGAATATTAAGTGATTTTTTTTTTTTCTGCTGAATGGGACCAGTGCTTTCACCTATCCCTGTTGCATTCCGACTGTCCCTTCTGCCTACTGGGTTCATATACGGGCTTGAGATCTGTGACTTTAAGGTCTCACATGCTTGCATTTTATTCTTTGCCTCCACAGATCCACTTCTATTTTTTTAAGATTTTACTTATTTATTCATGAGAGACAGAGAGAGAGAGAGAGAGAGAGAGAGAGAGGCAGAGACATAGGCAGAGGGAGAAGAAGGCTTCCCCCAGGGAGCCCAATGCGGGACTCGGTCCCAGGACCCCAGGATCACAACCTGAGCTGAAGGTAGACTCTCAACCACTGAGCCACTCAGGCGCCCCACCCCCCCATCCACTTAAAGGAATGCTCCTTCCTAGCCCAGAGATTCTCAAAGTTTAGAGTTCACAAGAATCACCTGGGATGCTTGTTAAAATGCAGATTCTGAGACCTCAGACACCACCACTCCCCCATGGATCGGATTTAGGAAGTTTGGAGGGAGTACATAGGAATCTCCATTTTGAAAAGGAATATAAGCGATTGTGACGCAGGGAGTCCAAAGATCACCCTTTGAGAAATGCTGTTGTAGGTATTCTGAAATAAGAGAATCCTCAAAGTGAAAATTGCTGGGGGATTCTTCAGTTTAAGTGTTGTGTTGCCTTGAGTTACAGAGTTCTTACACAATGTGAAGTGAATAATGTGGAACATTCAATCAACACAGTTGTTCACTGCCATAAAATGTCAACATTTCAGATCTTTTTTTTTTCCAAAAGACTTCTTAAGAATCCCTCTCTCCACACAGGGTCATGTTTAAAAGGAATTACAGCTGCTCCTACTTTTGTAACTAACACTTCCAAGTCTATGTAGAAAATATTTAAAAAGAACAAAGAGCAGCAAGAGCTATATTTGCAGTCGTGTAGAACAAATCCATTGCCTTCAAAATTATAAATCTGACTAATTAAAGCTAACCAAAAAAATCTACTGCATAAGAGTGGAATTTTTAAGCATATAAGCAGTGGAAGAAACCGCAAATGGAAAAATCAATAGATTTGGACTACACGAAAATGGAAAAAAAAATTGAAGCTCAAAAGCCATTACTAAATAAGAAAACCTAAAAGACCAGCCACAGGCTAGGAAAAATAGTTGCAATAGACACTAAAAAGGAATGATAGATTTGAAATATTAAAAAGCTCACAAAAATCAAAATGGAAAATCCTAAAGAACAGGAACAGAGATAAACACAAACGATACAAGTTCAAGAACCTAGTGAATATATTTTTAAATGTCCAATATTTTAGGGACGCCTGGGTGCCTCAGTGGTTGAGCGTCTGCCTTGGGCTCAGGGCCTGATCCCGGAGTCCCAGGATAGAATCCCACATCGGGCTCCCCACATGGAGCCTGCTTCTCCCTCTGCCTCTCTCTCTGCTTCTCCCTGTGTCTCTCATAAATAAATAAATAAAATCTTTTTAAAAAATGTTCAATATTTTAAAATACCAGTGATAAGGACGCCTGGCTGGGTCAGTCGGTAGAACATGGGACGCGCAGGGTCATGAGTTCGAGCCTTGTGTTGAGCATAGAGCATACTTAAAATAACATACCAGTGATAAATACCATTTTTGTCCATTAAATTAAGAACTTTTAAATGATCATTTGGGTGTCATCCTTGCGTAGGGGTCATGCTAATCCTCTCTGTATCGTTCCAATTTTAGTTTACGTGCTGCTGAAGCGAGCACTTAAATGATCATTTGGGAGAGAATTCAGTGAAATGGACAGGCACATTCAAATACTGCTGGTGGGCAGGTAAATTAATAGAAACTTTCTTTAAACAATTTAAAAATTATTATCATGAGTGTATTTTTTTAAGTAAACTCTACCCCAGATGAGGGGCTCAATATTATGACTCCAAGATCAAGAGCTGTATGCTCTGCCCACTGAGCCAGACAGGTGCCCCTCTTGGTGTTTTTTGAAAAAAAAAAAATCATGCACTTAGACCTAGTAAATCCCTTTGTAGGATTCTAGTCTAATGAAACAGATATTCAGACAAAGATTAAGCACAGAATTATTTTTAAGATGGAACAATTGGAATCATACCAAACGTCCAACAAAAGGATGTTCTTTTTAATAAACAACACATGGTATAGTTATGTGACAAACTGTTACATAGCAATTTAAAATGCTTTCAAATACTTAACGGTGCTTGAAAATGTTTCAGATATAAGGACACTTTGAAAACCCAAGATACAGCATTTTTATATATAATGCCAATAAAAGTATTTCATAAGCACATTAGAAAGCTGTAAATAAATACAACAAAGTGCTAATAGCTGTTATCTCTAGGTGTTGAGATTTTTATTTTCCTCTTAGTACTTTTCTGTACTGTCAATTCTCTGTAATGATCACATTACTATTACAATCAGAAACTGCAACAAATGGTATTTCCAAAGTTCCTCTGAAAGCATAACATAAAGAAGGAAAAGTTGTCAACTTAATTAATTTATAGTTTGCAAGTGACAGAGAACACTCACCACTTGTTTCTGTGGCAGGCGCTGGAATCCACTTATGGAATGCCAGTGACCTTATATTCTCAAGACAACTGCTTATCTGTCTCCCTAATTGAAAGACGCACGGATATGGAGTAGAGACGACAGTCTCTGGGAACAGATGTCCGAAGGGAGATAAGACAAGTATTGGGATAAAGTAAAAGGCAAATTTTACTAACAATCCTTAGTCTAACTACATTCTCATTTGGACTCTTAGATTAAAACCTTTCTCTTTGTACAATCTGATACATCATAACACCATTAATATTTATGAGGGTTTTTTTTAACAGAAAAGGCTCTCCTTCAAGAATTGAAAATCGTAATCATAAGAGAAATGTCTTACTCCTTTCTTGATGACACATGCTAGGATACCTGACCACCCAATCAAAGACCAGCTTTGCAGGAGACAATACTGAGGAATCTTAGGCATCCATCTTAATTTTGTATTGGTCACTGGTCAATTTTGTATGGGTCAACTTGACAGACTGCTAAAACAGATAATTCTGGGACACTACTTGCTAGCTGAATACCCACCTAGAACACAAACTTCTTCATATTAAAATCAGTGTGTAAAATGATCCCTTCTTGGTTGCTGGGTGAACAAAAACAAAGTGGGGGTCACTTTAGGTAATCTGAAAGGAAGGTAGGAGCAAGATTTTTCTCCTTGCTCCATAGGAGATTATTACTGGAGCATTCCCGAGCTCAGAGCAGGCAATTAGACTTGATGAGGTTAATTCTCTATATTTAAAAGGACAAGTTCAAAACCGAGAGATTTCACAGGTCGGTGCACTATCTCTAATTTACCACACCTCTCTGCCCAGGGCTAGACAGGCCAACTAACACACTGGATAGTCACCATATGCAATGTAATTTGAAAGATATTTTAAGGATTATGCATCCAAATTTCTGCTTCCTCCCAAACAGGCTGTCGTGAAGCCAGATATACCATCTTTTCCTGGGACATTTACATTAGAGCTGGATTGAGGCACCGATTGGGAAGGGAGAGCAAGGAGTTAGCTAAGAAACTTAGCAGAGATGAGTTTACCTAATTCAGACCTATCTTTTGGTACTTAGCAAAAGAAAGCAGAAACTGAGAACAAACATGAAAAGACAGATATTTTAAGGATCCTGCAAGGTGGGAGGAGAGTTATTCAAATCAAGAATCCGTGAAAGAGCCCTAAAGGCAGATTTTCCCTGCATTAATGCAACAGACATTTATTGAGTCAGGCCCTGTTTCAGTGTTACAAATAAAAGGAAAGAGTCCTTCCCTTAGATTTCATGGTCTAGGGGGGTAAATATGTGAATTAAAAAGTATAGTCAAGGGGTGCCTGGCTGACTTGGTTGGTAGAGCATGCAACTCTTGATCTTGAGTTCAAGCCCCACCATTGGGTGTAGAGATTCCTTAAAATAAAAAAAGTCAAATCCTATGTTCTAATAAAGCTCTGTTAGACAACTCAGTCTCTTCAACTTTCAACAAACATTTAGTCAGTCGCTCTATCATATACCTGAAACTCTGTTAGAAAATAGAGACACAAAGCCCAATAAGGTGGAATCATGGCCCTAAGGGAATGGACACCTAGTTGAGGAAATGGACAGATTACAATGGCAACACAATGCTCTGAGAAGTAGGTGTAAGATGCTATGGAAATGCCAAGATAGAACCATTCAGTCTGCCTGGAGGGGCTGGAAAAATCATCTCCAAAGACATGTCATTTGATGTGGGACTTGAAGAATGGTTAGGGATTTGCTAGTTTACAAAGGAACATGACAGCAGAACTCACAGGGGGACAGAAGAGAAATGGTAAGAGGTACTATCCACCGATACTATTGTAAACATTATAGTTGATCCTTCATTCAGTAACAGTGATCTGGGCGCATGCTATATACCAAACACTGTGCAGAAGTACTAATTCTCTGAATTTTTATAAGAGGATACAAAGGCATACAGAGACTAAGTGATTTTTCCAAAGCCACACAGATAAGAAGAGGCAGATTCAAACCAAGTTCTGACTCTCTCCTAAACACACATGTTTTCCATTCCACCTCCAAAACTGGATTGTATAGGTATAGAAGCATATTTGGGAAATGATGAAATTTCTGGTTTGGCTAGAATAAAAGAGAATGTGGGGAGGAGGTGGGAAATGGCAGCAGAAAATTTGTGGAATGTTTTACTAATTTGCATGTTAAGGTTTACATATCTGATCATTTGCATTTGATTTTAGAAAAAGGGAAATCATTCTTTTTTTTATGCCTTTCCAAGAAGGTCCTGGAACAGGTACAATAATAGTTTTTTAAAGTTTTTAGAAACTTATGACCCCATAATGTGGAGATGGAAAAAAAAAACCAAGAAGGAATTAAAATTGATTCTTAATGCAACCATTTTTTACTTGCAATTACTTTAAAATAGCATGAATATCTATCACTCAGCTTTCCAGACAATATGCCAGAACCCAAGCAATGATAAGGGAACAGCTATCTAAAGCACATATGGAGAAAAGTACCAAATAAAAATGGCAACCTTGACATTGTGTCATCACTGTATTGTGTTTATGTAGTTGCATGTTTACATATCCCAAAAACATTGTCAAGATCTGCATATACCTTGAAAACTTGTTTCTCACAAAATGAAATCTCATTACACAATCTAAAATTATGTTAAGTGGTGCTACCAAAGAAAATGGCAATAAAAATTGAGTTGCTGATAAAATACTATATGTTCATTAGTTGATTTTATTTTTTAAAAAGATTTTATTTATTCATGAGAGACACACAGAGAGAGGCAGAGACACAGGCAGAGGGAGAAGCAGTCTCCATGCAGGGAGCCCAATGTGGACTCCATCCCAGGACTCCAGGATCACGCCCTGAGCCCAAGGAGGCGCCAAACCACTGAGCCATCCAGGGATACCCTTTTAGTTGATTTTAAATAAATTTTTTAAAAAAGATTGAGTTGCTGAGTAGTGCAAACCTATAGTCACTTCATGAGACTTCTGTTTTGCCTTCAGAGCAATCATTGAAATGACCGATCTTAGTGGTCATGGTAAAGAATTGTACCCAGCACTGAGGCTCAAGATGTTGGCTTTAAGTTTGCAGACATTAATGTTTAAGCAAATATATCACTTCTGTGGTGCACCAAAGCATTATCATTAATTTAAGGGCTCTTAATAGGAATAACGGAAAACAGAGGAATTAGCTCCGAGCACTGCACTTTCATTTTAGATAAAGTAATTGAAAAAAATCCTACTAATGGTTATGCATTTCTTGAATTTATATAATATTTCATGCTTTCATATGTGTCATACACATTGTTATAAATTATGCACCAATTTCCTTTTTAGAAATTGAATGTGTATTTCTACTTATTTATAAAATGCTATGAGACATTTGGGAAAAATTATACTATTACTGATAAGCATTCAATTAACCCGATTTTCTGACCTGCACGTTGAAGGCTGAGCTGTTCCATCCTTCAGAGGATTTTCTTTCCTCCACACACTCAAAAACTGGGTTGATATAAATATTAATGGCAGTATTGATTCATTTTTGAAAATTTTACATTTAATTCAAAATGGAAAATTAGGCATAGGAAAGACCTTAATGTTCTGAATCATTTCTGGTAAAAAGAATGATGTATATTACTTACTATTTTTAAATATTCCAAGACAAATTTTAAAGAAGAAAGAATCCCCAACAAGCGATTCTAGTCCTGCACATCCATTCTGTGCATCTGGGGAGCTCCAACACATAGTCATATGTTGCTGGCAGGTTGGAGAGGCTGGTATTCATATTTGGGTTTCATCTTTCCAATTCTTTTTTTTTTTTTTTTTTTTTTTTGCACTCTGTTATCTATACCTCGCTCCTTGGGATTTTCTGCTCTGCTGAAGTTGTACCCTACAATGAGACAGAATGATGAGTCCGTTTTCATGAGCAGTACATGCTTCCATCAAGGTAAAAAAATAAATTGGGAAGAATGAAGAATCTCTTTTTCAGGTTTAATGAAGACACAGGGCTTCATTGTCCTTTTACAGAAGAGAGTCTTAGAGAGCCAACAATAAGGTAGGGGAGAGAAGAGATTGAAGGAAGCCAACTAGATGAAGTCCCTCCATTGTGTGGCAGAATGACCTGACCAGTGACCTCTTTGCAGACACGGACTTGCTGCTAATGATATAAATACTTTCCTCCAGCTTCCCAAGGAATAATGTACTTCCTTCCATGCCTCTCAAATCGGGGTAATTAACTAGAGGACACAAATATCAGTCCAAACTATCTCTCTGCTTCGTTACAGCTCAGGTTTTCTTTACCTTTACCCAGCCTTCTCGTCAAACACTCAGATTTGGTCCTTATTATTATTATTAGGTTTTTGGGTTGGTCCTTAACGCTTGGATTTTGCATTTGTTTTGGTTAACTGAGTGCCTGGCCTTGGTCAGTCCTGGCTCTAGGTTTGCTCTGCAAGGTGCAAGGCTTTGGAGACCCACTTACAGTCTGCATGCTGTTTGACTTCAGCCAGTACCCTCTTGTTGATTTCCTTTGTCCGGGAAACAAATAGCTGGAAAGGACCTCACCCTGCTACATGGCCCAAGTGATGGCAATGTCACTGCAATGCATTTTTATTTAGCATATTTGCAAATCCACACTTGAAGTTGAGTTACATAGAAAGAAAAGTATAATCCTCAAAAAGCCACCCTAGCTCTTTCGTCTGGGTTGCCGACATGCCATCCAAACTAAGGAAGGCCCAGAACCATTGGGGCCACGGGAGCCATGGCACTGCCTCACAGGCAAGCACCAGAAGTCCCAGAGGGCCAAGGTAATGTTGGTGGCATGCATCACCACGGGATCAACATTGACAAACATCACCCAGGCTACTGTGGAAAAGTCGGTATGAGGCATGACCACTTAAAGAGGAACCAGAGCTTCTGCCCAACTGTCAACCTTGATAAACTGTGGACCTTGGTCAGTGAGCAGACACAGGTAAATGTTGCCAAAAACAGGACTGGAGCTGCTCTTCCCATTGATGTGGTGCGATGGGCTACTACAAAGTTTTGGAAAGAGAAGCTCCCAGAACAGCCTGTCATGGTGAAAGCCACGTTCTTCCTTCAGTAGACACATTGAGAAGATTAAGCATGTGGGAGGTGGGGGTGCCTGTGTCCTGGTAGCTTGAAGCCAAGTAGAGGGAGGTTCATTAAATGCCAACAAGTGCTTTTCTCTTTTAAAAAGAAAAGTGCCGCCCTAAGGGAACTTTATTAAAGGACTTTGAAAGAACCAAAACTTAGGGCCAGTCATTTTGCTTCTGTGGACCTCAGTTTTCCTAATCTGTAAAGTGAGGGAGATGGTCTATAATATTTCTTCTGGGCAGCCCAGGTGGCTCAACGGTTTAGTGCCGACTTCAGCCTAGGGCCTGATCCTGGAGACCTGGGATCGAGTCCCACGTCAGACTGCCTGCATGGAGCCTGCTTCTCCCTCTGCCTGTGTCTGTGCCTCTTTCTCTGTGTGTGTCTCTCATGAATAAATAAATAAAATCTTAAAAAAACAGGTTTCTTCTAATACAAAAATTCTATATTAATGATCAAATTATTTTGGTACTTAAATGTGATACTTCAAGAGGCCCTATGTTAAATAAAATGTCAGCTCTATGCTATGGGAGATTTTTTTTTTAAGATTTATTTATTTTTTTTTAGATTTGTTTATTTTAGAGAAAGAGAGAGAGCACATGCACACAAGAAGCGGAGAGGTAGAGAGGGGAGAGAAACCCAAGCAGATTCCACACTGAGAGTGAAGCCAGGCGATCTCATGACCCTGAAATCACGACCTGAGCTGAAACCAAGAGTCGGATGCTTAATGAGCTCTGCCACCAAGGTGCTCTTATGTGATGGGTGTTTTTTTTATCAACACTTATCTTAGAATATGCTTCAGCTGCTTAAAACTACCCCCCCATAAACACAATGATTTGTGTGACCTGTAGTTCAGAGTTCATCAGGTAAGACAACTTGGGCTGTTAATAGTGTATTTGGGGGAAAATTTGATAAATTATGCCTCTGTCTTTACCCTGCCTAGCAGATAAACTGAAAATCTGCTGTTGTTTTGTGTTTGTAACAAACAACTGGTTTGATAAACTTTTCACTAAAATTATCCTAGATTTTAAAACCCTGTAGAATATAGACTCAAAACACCCTTTGCTTCCAGTCTTCATAATATTAAAACATCTTTTTAAAAATTTTTTTTATTTATTTGAGAGAGAGAGAGAAAGCATGAGCAGGGGCAGGGGCAGAGAGAGAAGCAGACTCTGCTGAGCTGGGAGTCCGATACAGGGCCCGATCCCATGACCCTGGGATCATGATCTGAGCCAAAGGCAGAAGCTTAACCCACGGAGCCACCCAGGTGCCCCATAAAAATATTTATTATTAGTCCTAGACATCACCTACAAATATTACAAAAGACGAAGATAGGATTATATTCTTCCTGCTGCCATTGGCATACATTCCTATTACATGGATCCACTGACCTACTCTTTAAACTTGACAGTGCCATTTGGTGGAAAGAAAACACCTTGTATAGAATTATGAAAATAAATGCATGCTATTATACACACCTAACATTAGATTAGGCATTACTGTAATAAACATGCCTGCTTACCTGTGAGATTTACTCCTAGTGGGCTAGCCACTTTCCATAGAAATGAGAAGAAGGGTGAAATACTCAGTAGTGCTCCTGTGCTTTATTTCTTGGGATAAAGCAGGGAACATTGCCTGTAACACTGTGGTTCTGATCACAGGCTGCAAAGATAGAACACTCTCCTGCCTACTCTCACACCTGCACCCCACTCCTGCATTACAAGCCAGGTGACCTGCGTAAAAGTTTACTTATTCTGTAAGCCTTAGCTTTCTTATCTTAAAATGGGGATATATGCCCATTTGTGGAAGTTATTAGCATTAAATGAGGCAATAAGTGTAAAGTTCCTAGTACAAATCCCGCCAGGTTGAAGAACTTAATAAGGGGTAACTGTAGATATTGTCATTTTTCCCCTTGGTGAAATTTTGTCATTGTGTTTACATTCGAATTTGAAAAGTGGAAAAGAAATGACAGTAGGATATAACCATCTGTCTATTACTTAGTATTAAGATTGTGAAGACCTAAGATTGTACTGAGGGAAGGGTGCTAATTTCCATTTTAACTTGTTTCATATCTCCAGCTGTGAACCAACTGGGTTTTTTTTTACAGATTTTATTTATGTATGTATTTATTTGAGAGAGAGAGAGCACAAGTGGAAGAGCAGAGGGAAAGGAACAAGCAGACTCTGCACTGAGCACAGAGTCCAAAACAGGGCTCAATCCCACAAACCTGAGATCATGACTGAAGCAGAAACCAAAAGTCAGACGCTCAACCTATGAGCCATCCAGGTGCTCCATCAACTAACTCTTACTTAAATACCCCTTTAAGAACACAAATACACCCAGATGCCAAATCCATATTGAAGCAAACACAGGAAACTAGCCAGGGGTCCATTGGCAAACTACAGCAGCAAACCTAATCTATTGCTGCTTATTTTTAAAAATAAAGTTTTACTGGCACACCACCATGCCTGTTTATTTAGTGTCTGTGGCTCCTCTTGTACTACAACAGCAGAGTTGAGTATTTGCAACAAACACTGTATGATCTGTATGCCAAAAATATTTACTATCTGGCCCTTTTTAGATAATGAATGTTTGCTGACACCTGAGCCAGAATAGTCCTTAAGAGTCTGATCTCAAAATTAATTTATAATAATAAAAAAAAAGAAAATATATTGAGGAAAACAAAAAACAAACAAACAAAAAAAAAAGAGTCTGATCTCATTTCACATGATGTTCTTTCCAAAGGACTCCCAAATATTTAAACCTTTTTAAAAAGCTTAGTTTAGTTAGATGCCTACTTCATTCCATCTACTAAATGAGATGTTGTTTGTATGACCCTATGGCATTGATAAAGAAACACACAGGTGAAAGCATTCTTGGTCCTGAATTATCCAAGAAATGTTTGTTGATTCAAAATGAAACTTCTGTGACACTTTCTAAGGAACCCTTTGGTTATTTAGACCAGATCTTCTAAATGCAATTAGTTATTAAAACCTTGTCACGGTTTAAATCTTTAAAGCAATATAGTCATGTACTTAAACTTTTCTAAAAGTATCAGAAAAGGTATATATCATCTTTGCTATCTGGGTTCTGTTTCTGGCTTGTTTAAAATGTTTTTTGCAAAATGTAACTCTCTTTTGTGGTATATTGACAAAGTACTTTGTCCTTTTTCGATGAAAGTGGCAAACAATGGCTCACGCTTGACCAGGACATAGAATCCTTTATGGTCCAAAACCCTTTTGATTTCTGAGGGTAGTTTGTCTCTTCCAATACAGATCCTTATAATAACTTTTTTCTGCCATCGCATGTCATATCCTCATTAGTATGAGTTTCCTGTGTTTAAACAGCCTGTGTCAATCTCTTTTAATACAGCTTTGAGATATAATTCACAGTCATTATTCAAGTCACCTGCTTAAATAATACCGATCAGTGGTTTTTGGTATATTTAGAGTTGTGCAACCATTATTGCAATCTATTTTAGAACATTTTCATGACCCCAAGAAGGACCCCTGTTAGCAGGAACCTCCCCCATTTTCCTCCATGGATGTCTCTATGGATGTTCCTTTCTTGTGCATTTCATATAAATGGAATCACATAAATGTCCAGATTCTTTCATTTAGCATGTTTTCAAAGTTCATTCATCTTGCAATACTGTCAATTACTTTTCAAAGCCACATTTTGCATATTTAGTAGACACTCAAATATTTATAGCATTTTAAAATCTGATTATATTCTCTCTCTCCACACACACACACAACCAGACACACAAACACATGCACACATGCACTCACACAGTCCTAAATTCACCAAAATCTAGCCTAACATTTGAGCATCAAACAACCAAACATAATAGGCTAGACATGACTGTTTCTTTTAGGAGCCTGATTAGTGGTGTGGAAAATTATGGATAATCCTTATGAATTTTGAAATATGCTCTACAATTTATTCTGAAAGCTCTCTAGTATATCTTTAAAAGACCCTTCTCATAGGAAACTTTTAGTGTTTGAAATTATATTCTGATGCAGATTAAATATTCCATCCAAAAGAATGCTCTTATAACCCAGACACACAAAATAGTGAAGCCAAGATATGCATGGGAGCTAGTGCACTCACCTACTTGCCCTGTAATTTACAGGCGTGTTCGTTTTTCCTCCCAAACCAAAATGTGACATGTGCTAATTAGTTATGTAAACTTCATGGGAGGGACTAACATAGCAGTATCTAAAGCAACTGTCAAAATTGCTATAACCAAAAGCAAGATCTCCTGTAATTTGCATTTGATCAATGTAAAACAAGGTTCAGAAGTCTGTACTATCTCTAAAGGAAGTATAACAGATATTTCATCTTCGAAGTGGATTAAATAGATGTCAAGCCACTTTCTTTCTGATTGATGTTATCACTGGACCTTTATAATAGGCAAATTCAAAGCTTTTGTTTTGCAGATGGAGAAGTGGAAGCCTGTAAAGGAAGTCCAATCCCAGAAACTCACCCAAAGTTCTTTTGCTTTCCTCCTTGAAATGGAATGCATTTCCACTTAGCCTTATCACGTTTTATGCATCTTTTAAAACCTAACTCAAGTACCATTGCACAAAAGATGCCTTCTCTGACTGCTTCAGCCTAATCATTCCCATTCCTTCCAGAGTTACTATAGCATCCCTTGTATATTCTATCTTGAATTGTTGTCTCAGTATTTCATCTACATTGGTTTTGCTATTGAATTATTCAACTATTAATTTCATGTGTGTTGAGACCATACTTTTTCTACGTTGCATATAATTGATTTTTAAAAGATGATTTATTTGAGGGAGGAGGGGCAGAGGGAGAGGAAGAGAGAAACTCAAGCAGACTCCATATGACCACAGAGTCCAACATCCCACAACCCTGAGATCACAACCTGAGCCAAAATCAAGAGTCAGATGCTTAACCCCAGCGTGACGTAATATTTAATTCAATGCCCAAAACATAATAGGCGATTAAAAGAATATTGTCCAT